GGGGTAGTAATGTATGAGAATGGTTTGACCCATCTGACAAGTCTTAGTTGAGAGTAAGATCAGCACCTAATGGTCTTGTTGCTTGTTGCTTGTTAAGGTACGAGTTGCGAAGGCAATTTTGACTATCGTGTTGCCCCATGATAGTGAAGTCTTGTGGTCTGAGAAAGCCATAGAAAGCCAAGTATATGGCTGTTTTGATAATGGAGTTTGTATGTGGTTCAAAAGGTGCTGTATCCAGTAAGCCAGAAATACGCTTGAACAGATGTATGTCAATAGGCAACCTACGTTGTGGAGTAGGACCGTTTGCTTTGGATATACCTTTAAGAATGGTTTTGATGGGGTAGGATGTGAGGAAGCCTTGGTTGTTGGGAAAAGTTGAAAACATGTGGTGTTGGATGCCCATGAGGTAAAATTTTTTCTTTTTTTTGGTAAATAGCCTTTTATTGAAGGTTTTCAAATGTGAAGAAAACAATAAAATGCAGCGTTACGTTCAAAGTACATATAAGCAATGTAACAAACAAGCTATCGAGATTCGCAGATCTCTTAAGTAAGCGAGAAGGATGCGACACGCAGGTCACCGAGCAATCAGAAATTAAACAAATGTCTCAGATTTGGAATTTTCCTTGCCCACTACCGGTGAGTAGCCCTCCAAAAGAAGCCTATCTCAGTGCTTTGGGTGTGTGTGATCCCACCCTGATCTATTCCAGTGCATTCCTCTTGGGGGAACTCGTCTAGCTCAGGTGGCTAAATTAATTGTGTCATCTTTGGGCATGTAGCTCCCGGTATGTGTGGGGCATCGTTATTGGTCTGTCTAGAGTCAGTCATGGGTGACCGGGGTAGGATGTAGTTCCCCGGGGTCTGGCCCTTAGGGTATGTAGTCAGGGTCTCAGTGATCTCCCTGTGCCTGTAAGGGGCTATGAACCCTGGGGCTGGTCTGTCTCCCCAGGAGCATTCGCAAATGAGTCCCCTGTCGTTGTCACCATCCAGTGTGTCCAGATATTGTTGTGCCCTGTCCGTGGTCTTCATGTAAACATCCTCTGTCGCCCTGAGGACTTCCATTTGGGCAAACCACGTCCGAAGCGTGGGTGCCCCTGTGTTCATCCAGTACTGGAGAATGAGTTGTTTTGCTATATTAAGGATCCGTATAGTTAGTGATCGTTTGTATTTGCAGCTAGGTGTGGAAGTGTGGTGTAAGAGCATCGCCGAGGGGTCAAAGGGTGGTGGTGGGTCCGAGAATATATGCAGCATTTTATGTATGCCCCGCCAAAAGGGTTGTATTCTCTTGCAGGACCACCAGATGTGTATGTGTGTCCCCGTCTCCTTGCCGCATCTCCAGCATTGTGCCAAGTGGTCAGGGTGCATGGTGTGTAGGACGTCCGGAGTGCGGTACCAGTTTATGAGCGGTCTCCTGATGTCTGCTAAAGGCAGCACAGTGGTGTGTTAGAGTGCAGATTTTGTCCCATTCCCCTAAACTGTTGGTGTAGGGCCGTCTCCCATTTCCCCTTGAACCTAGGTGTCTCTACTGGGATCTGCTTTTGTAGTAAGCTGTATAGGATAGATATCCTGTGCTGGAGTGGTTCCGGGTCAAGGCACAGTTGCTCGAACTCCGTGGGGGTGCGTCGTATTGCCCTTCCCTGCGGTAAGGTTTGGAGTTAACTCGTCAGCTGTGCGTATGTGAACTTCTGTAAGAAGGTCGGGGTCCGCCCTCCAAGAAGATCTGGTAGGGTCTTTCGCCCCGTTGGTGTATGGACGTGGTGTAACCTGGGTAGTGGGTCTGGGATGATGCCCCTAAGTGCCAGTGGACCCAATACAGGCGGGAACTCCCCGTTATACGTCAGGGGTAGTAAGGGTGACGGGTACGGGGTGAGGCCGGCTCTATCTGCGATACTGTGCCATACTTGCAGGGTAGTCCCTACGGTGCCCTGTCCCCTCTCCCCCTCGGCAGCCACGGGGCCAATGCTATAGGGATCCCTAGCTCTGCCTCTTCCACTGTTTTGCATTGTTTGTGAACATTTTGTTTTGACCACTCCAGTTTCCTAAGGAGGTGGCAGGCTCTATAGTAGAGGTGGAAAGCTGGCAGTGCCATGCCTCCCTGCTCTCTGAGTTGTGTAAGTTGTTCAAATTCTAGCCTTGGCTTCGTCCCCCTCCATATATATTCTCTTAGGGTCCTATGGAGGGATCCAAAGTATGTCCTGGGGATTCGTATGGGTATTGTCTGCATCAAATATAGCAGCCGTGGTAAGAAGTTAATTTTCACGACCTGTACCCGGCCAAGCCAGGAGATGTGGGGGCAGTGGTGTATCTTGGTTTTGTGCTGCCCTAGGCAGGACAAAACTCAGGCGCCCC